CGTGAGGCTGCTCCTATCTGTCTATAGAGGGCCTCATCCGCTCGGTCTTCCTGGTCAGGTGGCCTGTAGCAGACCCCCACCCTAATGTCACCTGTCCCTTCCTTCCCTTTAATCCTGACCCACAAGCTCTCGGTTGGCTCCTCATCCATCCCCAGGCAGAGCTCCATGCACTCTACCTGGTCATTGACATAGAGGGCGACACCCCCTCCTTGTCTCCCCTGCCTGTCCTTCCTGAAGAGCTTGTATCCCTCCATCCCAACACTCCAGTCATAGGAGCCGTCCCACCACGTCTCCGTGATGCCAATAAGGTCATAGCCCTGCAGGCGTGCACACATCTCTAACTCCTCTTGTTTATTCCCCATGCTACGTGCGTTTGCATAGAGGCATTTAAGTTGGGCCCCCGATGAAGCTGTCTTACTGGCTGGGGTTCCTTTGTGCTGCTCTTCAGGCGCTCTTCTGCTGACCTGTGTTCCTTCTTCAGGCTCTGGGCGTCTATTGCTGGCCCTGGCATCAAACTGGTAGGAGTGGGATGGATTGAGGTTCTTGTAATTGTTATTTCAAGTTCAGTTTTTGGAGGGGAAATTATTCCTGAGAGAAAATCTACTTACAAACATGGTAATTGCCATTCACTGCCACTCAGTGATCAGCAGGTGTGTTTTAAACCTTAGTATGCCCACTGTACAAAATATATATTTATAAATTCAGTTTCCTTCCAAGCAAAAGGTACCTGCAATTCAGGTGGGGAGAAATGGTGATTCAGTAAGCCTACTTTTGTGGAAGGAATACATAAATCTTAATCTGAGTCATAATTCATAAATATTAATCTCTTTTCTTTGCACAGGAAGAATACTGAATCTCAGTTTTTCTTAACTACATAAAACCAGATGGGATATAAAAGTTACAAAACTGTTTATTTAAAGAGATGATTTCTCTTCACATCAGCTCGCTTCTAATGTTTTTTATGAAAGTCTTCTTTCATGACCACAGTGATTATGAAATAACCTCTCAAAAGTTGAATTCAGTGCTTTGAAAAAATGAAATTCCCCTTAGTGAATTACTACACTAGTTGTTTTTATGAATTAACTGTAGATCTAACAGTTCTATTGTTTAATGGTTTCCTATGTTCCTACACATATATGGTAAATTTATCTTTAAAATAATGTTATAATTATCAATTAGTCTACTTCTGCTATAAAAATAAACTTTGTTCATTTAGAAATAATATCTTATTGAATCTATGTGTCATCCATGACATAGTTTATATCTTTTCCAAACACAGGGTGTAATACTTTGAACAAAATACTTTAAAAAGCCTAAAAACAAAAGTAAGGAAATAGGCTGACTTTCTCAGGTGTAACTGATTTTCTCATTTCTTGAGTAAGAAGATCAAGAGCTTTTTAAATCCCAGTTGTTACTGTCCAGTTCCCACTTACTTATTTCACAGAAATATTAACTTTTATTTAAACAAAATGAAATAAAACAAAACACCTGGCTCCTCCCTAGTGATTCTGAAGGAAAGCTGAAAAGATATTACTTTTTTTTCTTTCTTTCTTTCTTCCAATAGTGGGAAAACTGAATACAAAAGTGTGGGAAGTGTTTCATATTAATTTTATAGTTCTTCCTAAATTTTGATTGCTGTTGTGTTTATCTCTAATTCAAAAAAATTTGGTTGGAAGATAATCCAGATGAAGACATGTTTGTTTCATCTGTCCAGCCCGTTATCTTGACATCTTTGAGAAATAATATGAGTTTGAAGATGCATCAGGGTATTTCACTCAGCAGCTTTTGATCACTAGCAGATTTTAAGTACTAAAAATGGTTTTAATTTGGACATTCTAGGTAAAAGAAAAAAAAAAGTTGAGAATGCTAGAAAGAATGAGGTTTGTGTGTTGTTCAAACAACAAGTGTTGTTCATGGATTCTCTTGAATGAATGTCAACTATTGTCCAGCTTACTTGGAATGAATCAAAAATACACCAACTGCCTATAACTGGCTTATTGACAGATATATTAATCTATGACCTCTTGCAGGTCAGTTCTTAATACCCTTGCCAGGGATTCTTTTTTTGATCTAGAGTTGTTAATACCTTTTACCGATGATCTAAAGCAGTCATTCTCTCTTCTTTTTTTCTTTTTGGTTATAAACAGGCCCCATTAACATTTCTTGTGAGCTATAATGCACTCTTCACAACCAACTTTAAATAATCAATATTAAAAAAGAGGTACAGTTCCTCAGAGCTCTGTGGTTCATGAGTAGTCTTCAGATCACAGATTGGAATCTGTTAATATGAACTATAAAGCCTTAGGATGATGAAGTATGCAGAGGTGCAAAGATTGCTTAAAGACTAAAGAGCAAAGAGTACAGGGTACTATTACAGTGTTCTTTAAGGAAGATGTCATATGTCGCCCAAGCAAGTGGACCACCATGGAGAAGGGTATCCAGGTTCTGAGAGAATTAGCTGTGCTGGAGGTGATTTATGATGACCTGAACAATGAACAACTATCCAAAGATCCAGATGAAGTCAAGTGCACACGACCCATGTGGCGGAAGTTTATAAGGAGCTCACCATCGTCATAAGCCAATTCATTGGCAGTGATGACCTGGAAAGATGGAGAGGAACAAACAGTGGATGAATTGGTTAGTCAACTCCGGCAATATGAGGAAAGTCTCTCTTCCTCCCTCGTCTTGGCTGTGGAGAAACTGCAACTCAGAAAGGATAAGTCTTACTCCTCACCTGTACAGACCAGTATCTTGGCTATTAGGAGTCAACATTCTTTTGCTCAAGAGAGAGACTATAAAGGGTACACACCACGGGGCACCCTATGGTTTTACCTGTGGGACCACGGAGAGGACATGAGGAAGTGGGATGGAAAACCTACTGCAGCCTTAGGGGCACGGGTACGTGAATTGCAAGGG